CTTGCCCGGAATACCTTTCGGATACGGTATGCTGCGAATAATGGTTACATTACCATATCCCGTGCCTGCCATCATTAAAGTGTTCTGCTTACCTTGAAACACTTTCCCTTTATTACAAATATTCACACCTTTGGTAGACACGCTTTTAATTGCTAAGCAATGGGGTTATATAGTTGTTCTGACATTGAGGGCATTTAAGGCGTTCATTGTCAGACAGAGGATGTCCCGATATTCGGACTTACAGAGGCCGAACATGACACCAGACGTTAGACAGTTTCGGACAAACTAGACCACTGAAATAAAATAAGTGTGTCATTAAGCAGAAAAAGGTCAAATTTGTTTGGTACGGAGTATGATAACATGAAATCTAGATAGAACCTGGCAAGATCAATTCCATAAGAAACTTATGTCCCCCAAAAGACAAACACTAGGTACGTAGTTTTATTGGAATGGTCGGTCAATTTGGAAAAGTTTCGAATGTTGAGTACGAAAAATCAAGTCAACAGCAAGCTTTTGATAAAATCAAACTAACATTGTCCAATAATCTGCGATAGCTAACTCTGATCCAAAGTCGGAAACTGAACTCATGACTGATTTTTCCAAAAATCCTACCGGAAGTGTAGTCCTTTAGTAAGAAGATAATAAAGACTTTCATTCTTAGACGCGAGAATCATTTGCGTCAAGGGCATTCACTTCCCCATTCGTTAGGTACAGAGTTTTTGAAAAAGATTCACAATGTCTATAGTTACTGGGGCTGAACGACATAGTGATCTTTTGATTAGAAAATATTTGCATATCAAAACTGACTATTAAAGTCATGTTACTCTTTAATGACAAAAAAGACTTTAGTGACTATATGTAAGGTGCAAAGGTTTAAAAATGAGACTGATAAGATTCTCTTATTCAATAAATATTATGCCTGGAATTGGCTGGAATGTTTTGTACATTCCAGAATATTTGTCACGTGCTAAATTTGACACTTCGACAACTACTGACTTAAAATTGTATTAAAACCGGAATGTATGATGATTCCGTCGTCCTCAATTACACAGCTACTGTAAAAAGGCTGCAGGAAATAAAATCAAACAAAAAGGCGACTATGTCTGTAGCAAATAAGTTGAATATACCTACAGTGGACGGCTTTATACAAACTCGTATGGTATTGCAAAATTGTATAAACCTTATAGGTCAGAAACTATTGTGAATGAAGGTTAGTCAATAAGAAATGACAGACGTATTTTTCAGACAAATATGAGACTGGACATTCTTCCTTAGTAGCAAATCATTTAAAGATGTAGGAATTAGTGTGGTGGATATACATATCACATAATATAACGATTTAATTGATATTTGCATTAGATTTCAATTTTTTTCACAGAGTATAATGTCAATGTTCAGAACTTTTCACTATTTAGGGGAAATGATGTCTAAGCTGCCGGATAGCCCAGTCGGTTGAGCCGCGGTACGGTATTCCGAGGGTCCCGGGTTCGTGTCGCGGTCAGGCTGCACATTTTTCTCACCCTGTGACATAAATTTGATGTTGTTACAAATTTGCAAATGAAATATTTGAGATGATTAAATCATTTAACTAAGAAATATCCGTTGCATGTAAAAAAGAAGCGAGCTTAAAAGCTGCTTTAGTAAAGGGGTGTTTTGTAATATGATATGCTCTCCCAATCTCTCATTTGATTGACTGACTAAATGAAATGAATAAATAACTGAATTAATGAATAAATGAATGAGCGAACCAACGAACGGACAAACATCACAAAAAATAATAACATTTCAAACAAATTTATAAATAAATAAGCAAAGTATGGCAATGCTATAATACAACCAAAGGTTATAGGTTATGGCAAATATGGTTCATGAAGTATATAGAAATAAAAGTGCAATGCACAAAATAGAACAACAAAGGTTTGTAACAAATATTTGTTTTACAGCACATCAGACTCACGACAAATTTAACTTGAACAAACTCTAGTTTTTAATGAGGCAGATATTTAAAACATATATTGGATAACATACTACTCGCCATTCAGACAGTGCAAACTCCCTACTTGGCGCACAAAGAATTTGTCTGGTAGCGAGTTCCACGGCCTTGACGCCGTGTAGCAAAAAGAGTTTAGATTGTCATAACGGTAAGTTCTAATTCGTGGGATCTCTGCACAATGTATACATAATCTTTACAGATAACGAGATCACGAAGATATGTCTTGGCATGCAGGTTTTTCTTAAAGGTCTCCTTGCAGGCATTTATCTCACATATGTTGTCAGTTTTTTAGTTCCTTATATTATGTCCGTTAGGTTGGTCATACCTTAATTGTTTTTTCAAAATCCCTGCCTTTGGTTCCATGAAATATTCTTAACCGGGGGCGTTCGTGTCAACCATTGCTCCTCATCACCACAGGTACTAAACCCGATAGGGAAATTGGATTCTGTCATGTGAGAAAACTATTTAGCTAGTTTACGGAACGTCGGTTGTTGCAGGCCCGTGTCAACCTGAAATAATACACGGAAAGGCACCTGAGGTTTTCCCACACCAGCTAAGCTGGAAAGTCGCCCTATGACACGTGATGTGTTGAACCACACCCCACGAAAAAAGTCTATCTTGTTTTCCTCTCTCTTAATTAACACATTTTCTAATTATCCGATAATCATGCTTGTTTTTATCCGATAATTCACTGAAGTTCATTCTCATTTCGTCGTGTGTTTGTATACTTTATTTCTATTTAGATCTGTTGAAAGGGGCTTGACGTCTAGGTTTTTTCTGATTTTAATTGGCATTTTCATGGTAAAATGTCATGATTTCTGAGCCATAATCAATTGCCGTTCGGTCAATGCTTTTGTGATAAGCATTGTAATTTAAAAAAAAATCTGCATTCCATTTTTCAACCTGTTGTATATCAAGCAAACACAATTGTCATAATTTATTATAAATTACATATTATGTACAATAATAATAACATTTTATAGCACTCTCAGATAGTTTCTATTGTACATGTTTGTCTATAAAGTATTGACATTCTTATGTTTACAATAATGAGGCGATATTCACTCTTCCCAATGTCAAGGTCATACTAAGTCATTTTTTATGAATTAAGAAATTTCGTGTCCGCTCTGTATCTTTTGAACCGATAGAAAGAAATTTAAAACTTTTTTGGCAGAAATATTACTTGTAATAAGACGATATGCCGAACAAAAGTTTGGGCTTCCTGAGATCAAAATTGTTCAACCCTTGGAATAACCTGATATATATAGACTTACATAGGAAAACACATTTAAGCTTCGTTGCGTGAAACTATAATGTCTAGAGCTAAGATATTTAGCACGTAATATTGGCTTCTTGACCTTTACAAAATCATGCATCTTGGTTCAATATTGGTATAGCCCCAGTTGTCACTTTACTTATATAGACGTATGCAGGAAAACAAATTTTAGACTTATTGTGTGAAAAAACAATGGCCAGAGATTAGATATTCGACATGTAACATCACTTTGTGGACCACCAAATATTTGGTATTAATCATGTCACTTGGGTCAATATTGACCCCGCCCTGGGGCCACTGAGTTAATATAGAAGAACACATTTACGAGGGATGTCCGGAAAGTTCATATACTCCTTCATTTTTTATTGTATACCAATACATATGTTGTACAAATTTTGTCAGCAAAAATATACATATCTAGCGAACACATTTATCAAAAATTACTGAACTGTGACTTACATTTTTATTTTAACAGTAATTACATACAACATATATACCTCATCATGGAGCATTTTGACAACGTCAACGGCGTCAAATTAACTTCATGTTTACCCGCTATTCAATTTCTTCCGATTTCAACAGCCATTGTACCTGTCTGGCGTATACTTAATACATGTTATGTTGCTTTTACTTTATGAATTCCATATTTAAAATTATTATTTAAAAACAAAAATGTCACTGGTTCTCATACAGTGTGTGAGATGTCTGTCTTTTTCAAAGGTTGTTGTAACGCAATATACGATATTTTGCCCATGCTTCCTTTGGTCGTCTGTAGCGTTTCTTATACGATATACTGTCATCGCCGCTTCTTAATCTTGTTTGACATTTTAACACAAGTTGCCTTAAACATTTTATGGTTGATTTTGTTTTTACAGTAAAGATTAAAATCTCAGTTCGTGTCATATAAGCGTTGCTATGAAGTTAAATATCATTACGTTGCTCCGTCCGTGAATTTGACGTCATTTTTGCAACACACAATTTATGCACCTTCATTGCCTATAACAGTTGTTAACAAGCTATTTACTTGCGTATGACATCATAATTTTCACTAAATAACATATAATAGTATCTCATGATGTCACAAAATTAAAACGAGAGTTGGCGTTAAAATTACAACTTTCAGCAACTTATTATTCGAGTAGCTATCGTCATGAAATAAAAGTGCTCCGTGATTCGTTGATCATGTTGCCATGGTGATCGGCGCATTACGAATATTTCCTTTATCATGTTTTTTAATTTAGAAATATGTAGCAGATAAATACTTTAGCAATATATTCAATCATCATATTGATATGACTGTTAATAATAATTTTATAGCCTTGTCTACGAACTTTCCGGACAGCCCTCGTATTATTATATGGAGAACACATTTCAAATTATTTAGTAAAACTTCAATGCCTAGAGTTGAAATATTTGCCATGTATAGTATTGCCTTGTTGACCTCTACAAAATGATATCAATCATGCCCATTTAGATCAAAATTGACCCAACACCAGGGGTCACATTTTAATAGACTTCTATACGAAAACGTATTTGAGTCTTATTGTGTGAAACTACAATACAAAAAGCCTACATATTTGGCATAAAACATTACTATATTGACCTCCGCAAAACCGATAAAACATTTTAATCATGAACATTTTGTCAATATAATGACAGTCCTCGGAGACACTAGATTTATATAATATTTTATATAGACTTGTTTGAATACAAGTATTAACACTGCTAAACTTTTTTTTTATTTATTTTTTTATTTTTGAGTTATTATTCTGATAATACAAAACATTCTTGCATATACATACACTGTACTGAAATATACATATTTAAAGAGAATAAAGATTCTACAAATATTTTAAAGAAAGTATTTCAATAGTATAATCTTACCAAGAATGTAAAACGTTATTTAAGGCTGACCTATTTTTAATGTAACATTAGAAAATAATTCTTTTCAGAAGTTATTATATAACACTTTTGTAGAACTTCTTTAACATAAAGGAGAAATTTCATTATAGCATTGAAAACATTGATACTTATTTTGACAAAATTGTCATGAACTCATTGGAAACAACTTCTATTATTTTAATATCGATGTTGATGTTCAAATAATTATTGCACCTCTTGTCATAAATACTTTATGCAATAATATCATAAGGAGGAAATTAAACAAGATCGCTCACCTGACTTATAAAACTCATCAGAGCAATTACTTTGGCAACCATCTAAATAAGTTTGATGACAATTGAGTCAAATTTGTGACCACTAGACTCTTAACAAGGTTTTTCCATATTTGGGCAGTTTGACTTAGTTTTTGATCCCAGGTGACCCATATTCGGACGTAACCTAGACATCATCAAAACAAACTTGCAGACCAATTTCCAAGATTTTTGGATAACAACAGTAGCCACTAGAATTAACAAGATTTTTCTATTTTTTGCTCGTGTGATCAGAAATGACCCATGTTTGAACTCATTCGAACAATAAACTAGACAAGCATCCTCAGAAAGTTTGATGACAATTGAGTCAAAATGTGACCATAAGAGAGATAACAAGATTTTTCTATTTTTAGCCCCTTTTGACCTAGATTTTGACCGGAGACAACCCATATTCAAACTTAACTTAGAAATTATCAAAACAACCTTCCTGAAAAATTTAAAGAATATTTGAATCAAATCTGTAGCCACTAGAGTGTTAACAATATTTTTCTATTTTTAGCTCCTGGGACATAATTTTGACCGGAGATGACCCATATTAAAACTTGACCTAGAAATTATCAAAACAACCTTCCTGACAAATTTCCAGAATATTTGGATCAAAACTGCGGCTACTAGAGTGTTTACAAGATTTTTCTATTTTTAGCTCCTGTGATCTAGTTTTTGATGGAGATGATCCATATATTAAAATGAGACCTAGAAATCATCAAAACAACCCGCCTGACAAATATTCAGGATAGTTTGTTCAAAACTGCAGCAACTAGAATGTTTACGAGATTTTTCTATCTTTAGCTCATGTGACCTAGTTTTTGACCTGATATGACCCATCTTCAAACTTGACCTAGAAATCATCAAAACAACCTTCCTGACCAATATTCAGATATATTTGGATCAAAACTGCAGCCACTAGAGTGTTTATGAGCGTTTTCTATTTTTAGCTCCTGCGACCTAGTTTTTGACTGGAGATAACCGATATTTGAACTTGACCTGTATTTCATTGAGGAAAACATTCTGACAAAGTTTGATGGTGATCCAATTAAAACTGTGACTGCTAGAGTGTTAACAACCCAATTGTGGACGACGCACAATGCACGACGACGGACATAGCCCCCACCCCTAGACCTAACCTTGACCAGTTCGTGGTGAGATGAGCTAAAGAAATCCACTAAAATCACAAAAGGTGTACAAAACTGATAATAATCATGCCCCTGGGGACAATATCCGCTCGACCAGGGGTTACTTGGTCTTGAATGTATAAAGACTAATATAGGAAAACACATTTAAGACTTATTGTTTGAAAATGAAAAGCCAAAAGCTTAGACATATGGCATGTAGCATCATTTTGTAGATTTCAACGAAAGTTATATTATTTATTAATATGGTATTATTAACTCACATTTCCACAAGTCCCAATTCATGAATATAAAACTTCATGCCATTGAAATTTTTCCTTCATAGCTTCTTATTTTCATACACATTCATTTATACAATGTTATTTAATCTTAGAAAATTTTACAGTTTTATTTTTTTTATATTTACCAACCAATGTCTGTGCTACATAAGTTTTCTGTTTGAATCAGATAAGCATATTATGCGTTTTTTTTATTCTCCTAGATCTACGCATTATTTTCATTTATAAAATGTCAACTACTGAAATATAAAACTTTCATTCAATAATGCTATTTTACTATCAGATAGTGCAAGGTGACAAAATGGCACGCAATTAAATGTAATATTAAACTTTTGTGATATAAGGGTGAGAATAGAAAATTAAAGATATAAAACCGACACACATAAAACTAATCAATATACAATTATATCAATATTGAAACATTGTTGTTTGATTGTCACTGATGGAAGTTTAGGTAATATCCATTCATCGAATAATAACACAAGTTCTGAAAGTGTGGGTCTGCTGCAGTTACTTGATAAAACCAGTTCTTGAAGTGCACCTCATTTCTTTTCATGTCTAAGAAATGAACATACAGTTGGGCAGCCTGAAGAATAGAAAATTTTAAATACTTAGTTCTAAACCTTATATTTACAGTATTCCGTTATATAACACACATTGCAGTGCATTACTATTTTCAAAGTAGACAATTGTGGTGTCAGGTGAAACAATGGGTGAGGGTGATGAATATATAAATCGTGCTGACATTGAAACGTTCAGAAATTCAATTATAAAAAACTTCTTCTAAATCGACTTCAGCATAAAACATTTTAATACCCCCAACGAAGTTTTTAGGGGTAGATAGGAGTCAGGCTGTCAGTCGGTTGGTCTCCTAAATGACTACAGTTTGGAAGGAGTTATTGTAATCCAACTTGATGTATAGCAACCTTATGTGGAAACCCCGGTTGGTATTACTTTTTGACCCCCTTGGGGATAGGTCAAGGTCACTGCTACTTAAATTAGAAGAATGGTTTCCGGACAATAACTAGAGATAGTAATGAGATTTTGTAATCAAACTTAGTTTAAATCAAGCTTATATGAAACCTGGTTTGGATTATTTTAGGACCCCCTGGAGTCAAGGTCACCGTTAATTAAAATCAGAAAAATGGTTACCAGACAATAAAAAACGTAAGGAATGACATATTATAATCAAACTTGGTATTAACAAAACTAATGGAACGAGTCCGGATAGTATTTCTTTTGGACCCCCTGTAGTCATGGCCAATGTCATCGTTACTAAAAATAATAAATTGTTTCCGGACAACAACTGTTGTAAGGAATGAGGTATTGTGATCAAACTAAGCAAGCGTATACGAAGACCCCAGCTGAGATTGCCTTTGTATCCGCTGGGGTCAACAAGGTTACAATTACTTAAATATAAAAAATGGTTATGGTTTCAGGACAATAACTACAGTTAGAAATGAGATATTGTAAATTCGACATTTAACATGGGAATGGTGTAATTTTGTATCAGAGTAACATCCGCAGATGTGTTCATACGGCGGTCAGTGGCATAGCTACTTTAGGCTATGCCGACCCGGGCCTACAAGTTGGTCAAGAAATTGACATTATCAAAAGACCCAAAAATGCAATGTAAACAGGCGGGACGGGGTGGTAGTGGGTTCAAGCCGTATGGTCGAATCAAATGTGGTTTAGGCTTATGAATGATTACCGTCCGCAGTAGTTTACAACTAATCAAAATCATAATTTAAAGTTATTGCTTTGATAATTTTTCTTTAAAATACTAAGGAACGCTCGTTTTTCTCTTTTTTTTCCAATGGAACGAAAGTTTCAGCTTGAAGATTCCATGATAACCGCCAGTGGCATAGCCAGCCTTTTTCAACTTGTAGGCGGCCCATAAAAAGGGGTCTTGGGACTTAGTCCCCCCACAGAAGCCAAACACAAGTGCAGTTTAAAAAGAGCAAAAAGCGGCGTATTTTCACTATGTATAGATGTTCATACTAGTAAGTTTATGTGTTATTTCTGAAAATTAGCGAAAATAGAATCAAAGTGCTGAAAGCACTAAATTTGGGATCAAAATTACCATTTTTACTATTTCGAGGGAAGATAATTCAATGAGTGAAGGGTGTTGCCGGTTGATAAATATAAAGTTCACAATTCAGTAAAATAACAGTAGTTGATACAATTATTCTATGACATACATGTTCAAATATAATATTCAGGTTACATGTACATTTAAGTCCATCACAAACTGTTATTGGCCCTTTTTGACAAGAGCAACAAGTGAAATAAGAGCTGCCAGAGGAAACTGCTAGCTGGACTATTTTTAACATATGACATAATAAAGGGAGACAAAACTATGAAAAAAAAAACAACAAATGGTCAATATCTTTGCATCACATTATATATAATTTTGTGGCCATGTCATTAAAACTAATGATGGCTTTTATACACTGCTCTTCTCATGCTTATTTCTTTCACTGTGTGAAGTTTCAATCAAATTCCTTCAATATTTTTATCCTCTCTCTTTTTCTTAAATATTTTATCCTTCTCTCTATACAAGTATCATGAAATAATTTAAACGGAGATAATCATAAAACTAAGAAATGTAGAATTTTGGTTATTTGACACAGCACTTCTGCTCACTACCCTCTACAACTGCGTTTAGTTTGAGTGAGATACATGTATCTTTGAAAAGATATTTTAAATGTTGGTGTATTATAAGAGATGATCATTGGAAAATTAAGCTAGTAAAAAATACGGTTCTTTGACACTACACTTCCTTTCACTTGAATGTTTTGGCTGTGTAAAATTTTAATCAAATTCCATCAACTCTTTTCAAGTATTTCTCTGGACAAGCATTATTAAGTACATGTATTATAAAGGGAGATAATTTAAAAACTACGGAATGTAGTTATGGTTCTTTGACACTTTGACAAATTCGAGTCTGTACAACTGTGTGTAGTTTCAGTGATAGTTTGGAAGTAAAACTCCAAATAAAATTTTTAAACTTAAGGGAGATAATTAAAACATTTAGCAAGGTAAAGTTATGTTTCTTGAAAACATTTCACTTCCTCTCAAAAGTCTCTATCATTTTGTGAAGTTTAACTAAAATCCCTTCAATACGTATCTAGTTTTATTCATATTCCGGGACGGACGTCTTCCTAAGTTCCCAATGTGGGTTTTTTTCTTTAATTATTTAAAATCTCAAAAACACCATCACAAACATATTTTCCTCCCATGAGCAACCTTTTACCCCACAAGTACAAGTCTGTACAGAATGAACACTGAAATTTAACCATAATATTACTTGAGTCTAAACAGACATATAGTAAAGGCAGCAACTGTATTCTTTCCCTTTTGGGAGCATAAATTATAATAACATGATAAATCTTCATATGGTTCTATACCAGATACCAATATGATGAACCTTGCTTTTGTACCTTTTGAGTAATACCAGAATTCAAATTTCATTGACATAGAGAAAGGGGTCAGCCTTTAGTCCCCTCTTGATAAAAACAGACGGGGACTAATGACAACAATTTATTCTCGTAGTTTCAATTCTCAGGTTTATTACTTTTCATTAAACCAGGAAAGCTAAGATACATGTAATAACTTATTAAGTATGCTAGTTCTCTGAATGTATGTCATTGCTAAATATTACACAATATCTTAATACATTAGAATGTCATATGTAAAACAAGTCCCAAGACCTTCAATTCATGGAAGCATTTTGGGAAATAAGTCAAAATATCACCATTGATTTAATTTATCACTGCTGGGTTAGTGTGGTGGTTTTGTTTGAAGCCAAAACAGCTATATTTAAAATTTTCCTTCAACACAATGTTCTTGACTGGCCCTTTACTATTGACAGGGGATTCAACTGAAGTGCTTACTCAGAATACCCCTCTAAAATAGTCCGACAAGTCCCAAGTGTTCATGGTTGAACAGTTATTTAGCCTACACAGTTATGATCACACTGTACTGTACTACATCTGGAAACTGGTGATTCCCACATACTTTGATGCTAATCTTCATTTGCTTTACGATGACGCATGACCACCTGAAATGCATTAACAATTATATGAATTTCAATAATTTGCAAAAAAATGCTTATCTTATTTGTCTCCTCTTCTTACATTTATAATGCAGAGCACTAGGTTTGAGTGTCTGTCATACAAAATAACTTTCAATAACACTATTTAAATATATTCCAAATACAATTTCTTTAATAAATACTCATAGTAATACTAAATTACTTCTTTGTGATATTTTTTCTGTCTCATAGGTTCAGACAGTATACAATTTATCTGTTTAGACCGCATACAATTTAAAGGTATAATTATTTATTGGCTACAATAATTCTTGTAAACAATGAATTGTAAATAATGATTGAATTTTTAAAAGATTATCCCTTCAAAATTTAAAAACAGCCTGTCAATGAAACAGATCTTAGCAATTGAGGCACACTAAGCAGAAAAATGGTCAATCAAAGGGTAGGGAAACATGTTTATACATATTTAAATCATTTGGTGAAGAAACATAATTAAATCATTTCGTGAAGAAACTATCACTTCACATATGTGCTTTGCTATTGAATTTGTTTCAATCTTGAATAATCAAAATGTAAACAATGTTCATAAGGATGAACTGTATTGTAAATTTTGCATACATATTGAGGTCTTGTTCAAGGCAACACAACTATATTGTAAAATTTCCAGTTCCTTGTAATGCCCTGTAGGATTGATTTGTACAACCTTAAAACACCATACTATGATATTTCATGTAAGCAAAGGAAAAAAAGACTGGCTTGGATTATTTTAGGACCCCCTGGAGTCAAGGTCACCGTTAATTAAAATCAGAAAAATGGTTACCAGACAATAAAAAACGTAAGGAATGACATATTATAATCAAACTTGGTATTAACCAAACTAATGGTACGAGTCCGGATAGTATTTCTTTTGGACCCCCTGTAGCAATGGCCAAGGTCATCGTTACTAAAAATAATAAATTGTTTCCGGACAACAACTGTTGTAAGGAATGAGGTATTGTGATCAAACTAAGCAAGCGTATACGTAGACCCCAGCTGAGGAAAAATAGACTGTCATAGGCAGTATCTTAATGCCATTGACAGAAATATTTGAAGTATGTTCTTAACTAACACTATAAAAAACTGTGAGCATGCACTTATTTAAGGCTGTACTATATATGAACAAGTCTTGGACTATTTCAGTATGTAGATTTGAAATGCAAACAAAACAGTTTCAAACCTTTTCGAAGACATTTTGGAAAAGTTACCTAGCACAGTTTGGGAAATTTTGCATCTTTAATGGGAAAAATATTCGGTACCAGCAGAGTATTTTGAATTGTACAAAGTTGTTAATCTAACAAATTGTATATCATTCAAAACATAAAAAAACATAAAAAATTTGACAATTAAATGTGTTTTGAACATCATCTGTCTGGTACCATATTGAATTGGAATGGAATGAAGAGAAATTGTCAGCTTTGATAACGGGAATTGGACTCGATTATGATTTTTTCTAAAGCTCGGACAAAAATAAGCATATTTGCAACTGGGAATGGGTCTGGTAATCTGGGCAGTGGTGACACTGGTAAAAGGCATGTGTTTTCATGAATACTTTTTGGAGAACAGTTTGGTTTGTGAAATATACATCAAATATTATACAAGAACCTGTTGTGTGTGATAATCTTCTTGTCTCTCTTTAATCTTGTACTTTTTTCTAGCTACACTGTACCAGCCTTTCCAAGTGAATATTGGAGTAAATGATCTTTTATTTTCGTGTAAATATCAATAAAGAGATTTGAGCCGTGTCACGACAAAACCAACATAATGCGTTTGCGACCAGATGGATCCAGACCAGCCTGCGCATCCGCGCAGTCTGATCAGGAGCCATGCTGTTCGCTATCAGTTTCTGTACTTGTAATAGGGTTTGTAAGCGAACAGCATGGATCCATGCTGGTCGCAAACCCACTTTGTTGGTTTTGTCATGACACGGCTCATTTCATCTTCAAAATTATCTAATACTACTCTTATTGTGTGTATTTATATACATGTATATATGTGTACACCATAATATGATTGTGAACAGCATGTAACAACATAAAATGTGCTGTGCTGTTGTGTTGACCTCTTCGCCAAATGGTTGTGTGTCTGCCTTGTAATCAAGGGGTCTGAAGTTCAAATCCCTTTCAGTGCATGAAGATTTTTCAGGTTAACAATGATCACGGTGGCTAAGATTTTTCTTCAATTTTCAAAACAACCTGTGGCTTTCTGAATGGGGAAAATATAGCGTGATAAATCAGAAAAGGGGCAAATCAAATTCCAACCACTGAGAATGGAATTTACCCATACATTTAAAAAAATCAATTTTAATTAAATTTAATATACATGGTACTAGCAGAAGCTATCTATAGGGACAGCTTTCTCTCTTCTAGATGATATAAGTCAGCTGATGTTAAGTCATCATTCTGGTGAAGAATGTGCACTGGGGCTTTAAGGGAAAATATTAGCATTTTTAGGGGAAAATGTATCTCTTGGCTAGGGGAAACAGCCTTTATTCGACTGTAAAATACAGAGAAAAAATCACTGGGTGGTGAGGGTAAAATAAAAAATGACAATGATGTTCACTTGTCATTTGTGGGTATGAAGAATCAACTAGCAATCAATAAGAGTTTAGTCAGAAATAACAGAACAGTGCTTCTAGCTTGTCCTCTAATGTCTGAATTATACAAGACCTTCAGTATATGCAGGGGCTAAACTTAATAGCTAAACAGCTGATATTGAGCGTTAAATCACTTTAATCTTTCATAGAATCCCTTCATTTATTGAATTATTTAATGTATAAACATGTAAGATAAAAATAAAATTAAAATTGTTCTGAAAAAATTAACAATTTTATTTGGCAGAGACTTTACGGTCGTGACAAGCCCAACAAATTGAAGGCGTATCAGACCTTTCTATCTTAAACGGACTTCGTAAACGGACTTCGTAATACTGAATAAACTGGGGGATTTTCTCAAAACATATATGATAAAAAATCAATAAAATTGTAATACATCGGTTTTTTACAGTCATGTATATGCTAGTTATTGTATTTCTATCAACCATAAACATATTTAGATGGAGACAATATAACCATGATTTATATAAAGACCAATAAATAAAAACAAACAAACGAACATTCATTTTCATACTCTATTGTAGTGATATTTTTTCAACCAATGACCAAGAAGCGATGTTTTCAAGATAAACTTGTATGTGTTGGTACATGGTGTTGAAACATGTCATCATATGTGTAATATGAATTAACGCTTCAGTGGGCATCGCACGAAATCTCGAGTGTAAGAATAAAAAAAATGAATTATACACAGGTAGCCATCTGCATTCCAATAACATATGTGTTGATAGTGTGGAAGTGACAGTATCAAGAATATAATTTCAGATTCCCCATATTACCCATTGGTCGTAATATTTCGTGTAATGTTCCAGCTATTGCACCAACTGCGGGACCGATTATCCCAGCCGACACGTTTACTAAACCATTGAAGTATGGTAGGCCAAGTGATGTAATTCTCAAATGTTATGTAGAATGCACGTATAGATGTGCGAGTTTCAACTTGTATATACGCGAAGAAAACATTGAATAAGGTAGCAAGTGATACAATTAAGGTTTGGGTAACAAGTATCCATATCACAAACAATGAAATTATATTTACTGGAAACTGTAATATTTAAGTTTATGATATGTAACATATATATTAATGTGTCTGATGCTTGACAAGTTAGATTATAGAAATTTGTGTACATATATATGTATAATTCTAACGGTTCGTGCAATTTCACACTGAAGTGTTTCTACATTTTATATATACTTTAGTAACAGAGATATTTATACCAATATTAATACGACGATGATGTTTTGAATGTGGGGGTAATAGAGCTCCACAGCTTGCAGATGGTCTACGTCAGAGAGAATTACAGGTTGACAACAATAACATGTGAGAGCAGTTTAAGACCAAATTAAGCACCAATTGCCGGCTGTTTCGAAGGTTGCAGTAGGTCAACTTAATCGATCGGCTCATCGTGGGAGTAATAGGCTCTCTCTTGTAAATCAAATATGAGAAAATCAGACTCTCTATAGGAAATCCCCCCCTTCCGAAAAAACACCAAAACTACTATGGTTATATTGTCTCAATCTTTAATAGGTTGATATGTTGAAATCGTTCCATCCCAGTTTTAGCGTACTGCTCATTTTATCTTATTTCCCCGCATTTATGTTTTGAGACCCCCCCCCCCCCAAATTATTCCGTATTAAGAAGTACGTTTACGAAGTCCGTTTAAGATAGAAATGTCTATTTGCCGGTTTTCCCTGTAAAGGCAGACATCTGTGTAATATCAATTTGTAAAATCGTTCGGTTTAATTGACACTAGGCCAGGGTCGAAATGTCTTGGGGACGAAGTGGCTCAAGATCTCTCAAATTACTTGAAATTATTAACGAAAGTTTAAGTCCTCAGGAAGGAATTGACATAAATAAATAAACTTATCATTATTCATCAAATTCATAACATATATTGCTTTAAAACTTACCTAATGGGCTAAACAGGCTGATATGCTTGCCAAGTAGGTCATAAAGTAAACCGGAAGTTGTCGGATTCATCTTATTATAGGCTATTTCAGAGACATAGATTATCGACATCTCTGGCTATTTCTATTTCAATATTCACTTTGCAGTTAGAAACTACAAAATTTTTTCGATAAAAATTGTCTTTTTCAAATATTTCTGGAATATCATACGAAAAATGTGATGATAAGGTACTGCTGCGTAAGTTGAACATTGCGAGCCACCAATCGCTTGTCTCTATTCATAGAATTACTCGAACTTTCAAATTACATCCGCTTCATTTCTAATGCTAGCTACATTCATGCTATTTTGCACATGGTTTTCAAAAAATAAATTTCTTATCTTCTCTTCTGTTCGCAATAAATCAAAGTTTTTAGAAATACAGAGTACTATTTTTCACTCGCGTCGGTCATGCGTTGGTCATGGTCGGATGATCACTATGAATTCAACTTCCTTGAAAAATGAGGGAATACAATATAGCATATATAGTTGTGATGAAACGTCACTGCAGTGGGCGTTACCCTGTATGGCTGGAAATTTCTGGTTTGTAAGTACACTAGTTGGGACTATGACTACGTCCCAACTAAAAAAAACTATTTCATAATTCCAAATCGTTTCTTGAAAATAGTAATTTAAGCGTTAATTTTTTTATCACTACTAATGTAAAGAATTAAATCTTGAAAAGTGATGCCAAATTTGATACTTGTTACAGTAAGATGATATCATAAATCATGTTACAACTTAAGTAAGGTACTTTAATAATATGTGATAAATATTATCAAGTATTATATACTGCATATTTCAAAGCAGCTTTTATTTTCTTACTCTTATATCATGTTGTTAAACAGGAAATGAAAGTTCTCAAAGGTTGTTGCATCATCCATATTTTTACATTTTCATACATTGTGATACCTTTAACTTAAATTATTATATAAAATCATTATTTTTTATACATTTTGATAAAACAACTTTTCTATATATAAAGTAATTGAATTCCACATTCATTCTGAAATGGCTATGAACTATTTGTCCATTTGTTCTTTTCAGCTAAGACAGCAAACATTAATGATTTACGTATATGCGAGATGAAGATGTGTTTTTTTTATTCTTTAAATAAGATGTCACACCGGTCTCTCTAATATAAAACGAACTTGTAAACGGAGTATTATGTAGAATACTTGGCAAAAGATTATAACAACCCTATCCCGCATGTAGTTGATAGCGACACCTTAATACAAAATGTATATCTAATTGTACATACACAGATAAAGCCTTTATCGGCAAGTCTTTGCGCAAAAATTGTTCCAATGCCACCGACCGCTGTGAGAGGCTTATTTCCCATCGGCTCGCTCATAAACGATTGTGCTTTTGCTGTTGTCATGTAAACCTAAATGATATATAAATTTAAATCATAGGATTACAAGAAAACCAATCCAATGGCCAAATTTATAGAAGGGAAGATCCGCTAGTAAATGCATTTCGTTTTCTTTTAAATAATACATTTTTTTCTGACTTACGGTCGCAGTTGAATACCTCTACATGGTAATACTGTACATCATAAATTTTGAAATGCATACTTTCCAGCATAGTGTAACTATTCTCGTTTTACACCTGCAAAACTGAATTTTACTAGTTTTTGTTTGCACTATGACAAGTGCCTTTTTGCACATAATGTTTTATTACACTTTAAATAATATCGTTTTACTAAGATAATTTTAAAGTTTGAATAAAAAACCAACAACCCCCACCCCTCCTAAAAATATATGAGTAATTGAAAATAACATGTTATTTTTCTTTAAATTCAAGGGAAAGATCCTTCCCTATCTGTGAAAGAAGTCAGGATTATGCAGCACTATTCATATACTAAATAGTATGAAGTGAATGCAGCACTATTTATATACTTAATAGTATGAAGTGAAAGTTTGTTATAACACGGTTGTGTGTCTCAATGTTTACGTGTATTATAAATTGTGCACCCGGAAATGCAACAGAAGCTATCATTTAGAATTCATAGAAAGACATGCATTTAACGTTATTGCAGCTGTTTAAGAAACTTGTAGAAACGTGATTTTTATATTGTATACGTGAAGTGCAACACAAACTTCCGTTTACTTTGCAGATATTTTCAGCGATCGGCTAGAATTAACAACACTTGCTTGCATGTTCTTAAATCTGAAATTTGACACTTGAATTTTAAATGTGAACCTAAAATGTAACCATAAGCCATAATTTTAACATGCATATTTAATTTTTCCCAGGGGGAAGGATCCCACAGGCCACCCGTAAGATTAGGGTAGTTTGGTTATTTCAAACTTAGCGGTAAGTTCATGTTCTTGAATATTTCGTATAAAATCGATTATTTGACTTCAAATTTCCGAAAATTCGTTTTTAATGTCTTATACATCACTTAAGGTCAATTCCCACTTTCGTATCCACACTAAAATTTCAACACGTATTGTTTAATCCATATCAAAATGGATTCTTTTTCACAGTTTTAATCTAATGGTTGCAAAGGATGTTAAAGATGAAATTTATTGTTTGTTTCTTGACAACCTAGAAAAGTGGCACAGGTATAAAAATACATCTCTTATTCACTTTCCAAATATCTAGTTGGTCTCATCTTAAAATGCATTGTTTCAGAAAGTTTTATCTATATTAATCTATATTTTCTTGAATATTGTTCAAAGTGAAATCTCTTTCATACTAATATATGGAAACCAAGTATTTTTATATATTGATTATTTCACGGTTCAAATGACTTACTTATGAACCAATGTTCTAGACTTTGTATTGATCGTGTTACAGTATACTATACTAGCATGCAAGTAGTTCCCGTACAACACCCATCAGGGGCGTCCCTCGGCTTATTATGAGTGTACGTACGCCGAGTGCCGGACCGCCAGAGACTTATTTATCAAATATAGCTATGTGCTATAATTAAGGCTTTAGGGGATATTTAAGCTAATTGTACGTCCATTGTCGTTATTTATAGTTATGAAAATGACATCAAGTATTGAATGTCAGAGAAATAGCACGAAGTCTAACGTGTACACTGTTTTAAATAGTTCAAAAGTTATTTGCTTTTAGAAAAGCAAAACAAAGCCAGGTATCTCTCTTGTAAAAAAGATGGGTTTTATTTCCTTTTGTAACAAGTTTATATATTTTTTTTTCTTTTGTTTCACCATAATTTAACGTGAGATTTAATCAAGGAAAATATGCTTTAAATGATCTGACTGACTTTAATACAAACACAATAGCTAAAATGTTTAGTGTAACGAAGTTGTCGTATTCACAGCTAAAATGTAGTACTTATCGCACGATCATTTAGCTTCCTTAAAATATTTTTTGATGCGTATTATGTCAATGTTGTAGACAATAAAATATTGCCTTTAACATTTTTGTTCTGAACTCTAGTATTTCAATTTCCATTCGAAATATTTAAGTTATATCATTACGAAGTAAAATACCTCACGCAACAAGTTAGTATAAACAGACCCGCCGATTTGTTACCTAAAGTCGGCGAAAATAAAATTATACATTGTTCTCGTTGTATATCTGTCTATGTTTAAATATGTATAGATGAGACTATATATATATATGGATGTTGGCAATGGTTCACTGCAAAGATCTGATTCATAGTGTCACAATAATTTGAAATGAATATACGTTGAATGAATATATATTTCTTAAAAATAATACACTGATTTATAGTTACAATGTAAAACATAAAAAAGACATTCCATACAGCTTACTCACTCCCTTTCATTGTGCTGCAAACGCCATGTTGCAAACAAGATCTTTATTTTGCATATAGATCTAGATGTAAAAAATGAAATAAATGTTAACTTTTCACTGATTTGATTCTTATGAAAAAAAATGATGGCAATATATTGGACATTTCTTATCCTAACTTGGATTTTGACGAATTTATTTGTATAATCACGCTTAACTCAAGCTAAAAAGAGAAAATTCCAAAGAAATTGTTTATATCATATTTTTACTCCCATTCTTCAAAATTAAAGTTTTGATTGTGCATAAAAAGGTTACGAATATTTGAATAAGGTAACATTCTGAGCATACTGTAGAATTAGCGGCTACGAATATGTTAATCGATCTACGCCCAAATTAATGATTTCATTTTTGAAATTCTATTTTTTTTTGAAACTTTTCTTTTCACACACCCATTCGTATTGGCGTATCGGTAGGTACGCCGTTGCCCGTTTTTTTTCTCTCTAAAAAACGCTTAAGTTTTATAATGCGTCCTTCGAACATTGGTATCCGATCACACCCAAAATTGATCTGGACACCATTAAAGTGTGATTTACGGAGTAGGTATACAACATTTACATTTTACTTTTTGTCTAAGATAATGTGAGAGTTACGTTTCTTATTATGTGTACACAAAAAATCTAAACAGTCGGTTAAAGATGTCAAATCGAATATACCAGTAAATTAGCACAAAAATGTTAAATGTCTAAATGGTGGACTTTGTAATGTCGTCTGGATTTCAAATTGTCACAAGTTCGAGCGTGACAGAATATTCACCTTTTTTCACTTTTTTTCATATTAAGGCTTTTATGTTGTCTTTCTTACAAACTACAATGTATATAAAATATACAGGTTTCCCATTGTGTGTAAGGCCAAATACAAGTGGTATAAGTCTATTGCACAAAGTACCTCCGATTCGGCCTGTTTAATGTTTCTGCTTTGACTGATGTGTAACTATAGTGGTAGGAGATATGGGAAAGTACTGTGTACACATTCTTAAAATGAATGGAGTTTTGAAAAGAAAAATAAATGGTTTAAACATGAATCTAGAAAAAAAAAACATATTACAGTCCGTCGATGTAATGCTCGTTCGGTAGAATGTACGTCACTGTTATTTGCCGCTTAATTTCAGTGGGCCGATAAAAAACCCTGAAAGCAGCACACCTCCAGATTCATGCTAATTTTCATGAACATTTTTAAAATGTATTTGAACATGTAATATTATGAATTAACCAAAAGAAGGCAAATTACACATTGCCAATGGCACTTACAAACCACGTAAATGACCGGAAAATGTACAATACATGTATATGCATATATAGCCTTTACTGCGTTAGTAACGCAGTAGAAGTATACATGTAGTTGTAAATACTGAAAAATCAGTCATTAATCGTACATAATATGTAAAATATTACTTGAATCTTAAAACTTTTTACATTTCCATACATCTTAGTATATTTTTCTCAAGTTTGATTTATTCATCTGGAGGCATGTAGCCTTAATAATGACTTCATTGGTTGTCATCCTGAAATTGTTATTATTTGAAGGTCAGCTGACACTGACATAAAAAAGAAGAAATATATTTGTGTAAATTGTTATACTTATGTCAAAATGTTTACTTTTATTGCTTAAGTAATAGTAATATAACACGTGTGTAACACTGCATTAAAATAGAATACATGTATAAACGAGTACGTTTCTCCAGCTTAATTACAGTAGCCTTATATTCATTTATCTTCTTTACTTTTAACATGTTCTGGTTGTTTACGTGCTTATAACTGGCTGGGACAAAAATATTAGTCCGTATATCTAGTTCGTGAAATTTATACAATTTATGATCGGTAAACTATTTTGAAAGCATTCGGATCTTATATAATCTTTTATTCCACTGTTCAGTGACTGATATAGCAATTACATACGATTACTGATTATATACAAGAAAAAACATGTCATACACAATGTCATACATTAAATATAGATATACATTATATAGAATGATAACAACATGCATACACAATGTTAACTTATTATTAAGCACATGATATATTGTCAATGAAGTTCATGTAAATGCTATATTCATGCATGATGACTTTCACCTCCAGTTAAAGGTATTCCGCAGTAGGCATTCTGCTTTAAATTACGGTGAAGTAAGTCATGCGTGTTTGAAATGTGAAACGTAGCTTCATTCTGTATATGTTGATATTTTCCTGGTTTTATTTTTTGCATAATCTTCTCATGCGGTTTACGTAATAGTGATAGTATATGAAACGAGTTTGTTACAAGGATATATAACACTGACTGGGGCGACGTCGATAGGGACTTTCTGCTTAAACATGTCAAGGCCGTTAGCCCGATATTATTTTTTTCAGAAACATCAAGAGATGTCGCCCCAGTTAGTGTTATATCCCCGTAACTAACGAGTTTCTCATATTATAACTGTTTTATCGCACTGTCATAATTTTTTGTACCAGAAATCCGGAAAAAAATATTGCACTTCTCTCTCTTGTGCCCTTTCACTTTTGTTTCAAATTGAAAGCCCTGATTAACGCCCTTTCTCCCCTTTTTGTTGTCTAAAATGGTGAAAATGTCTTATTTAGGCCCACAAACACTTGTTTTTGTTTCAGAAATGTTGTTTAAAAAGTGACAACTTTTTTTGGCGCGGACCCCTATCCAAAAGATACATCTGGTGATTGCCAGAAGGGGGATGTGCCCCATTCTGTTTGGGGGTTTGATCGCCAAGAAATTTTTGTACTTGTGAGAGGCTAAAAACGACCCCAGGTCAATCATATGGTAACGTGTAACCAACGCTGAAAAGCCTTTGAGTCTATCTCAATCCATTGAGAAGTTGCAGCACTTTGAAATCAATTTTGATGAAAAAAAAAACAACAACGAAAAATAGTGATTTTTGGCAGTTTTGAGATGTCCCCTCATTGCCATGGTAACATGAAATTAAGGACTGAGCATGTTGTTACAAAGGCAATCGTCCAGTCAACATTTGTGCCAAGTTTGATTAGTACTGAAGCAGATTTTATAGTTTTATAGCAATTTGAACTTGTAACGGGAGACTTTTCAATGAAAACAGCCATTTTTTACAAAATGCTCATGCAGTAATGGGTTAAATGAATCAATACTAGCTAATGTTGTAAGCTACCTTAAAAATATTTATAACAAGGCAGTCTGAAGGACAGCTAAATCCCCTTCCGCAGTGAACATGAATGTGTACTTCTTGAGTTTTTACCAGCCACGACCTTGATGTTATGACATGCATATCATAAGCGCATAGTCATTGATGGTGATTATTTCTGCAATGTTATTTAAAACCTTCCATAAAGAAAAGAAAAGTTATGGAGAACATATAACCTTGACCTTGGGATAGCAGCCTGAATATTAAACTCTGCAGATTGTGTCATGGTAGTGATCATTTGTGCCAAGTAATTTTAGAACTTTTGAATTGTCGATAAGTTATAGAGCGGACATGAAAAATAGATGTTTTTTTGTACAGTTGACATTTAAATGCGACCCTGACCTTCAGGGTTGTGACTTCATTATTGTACTCTGCCAATGGTGTCATAATGGTGATCATTTGTGCCAAGTAATCTTAAAAACATTTCAGCAGTTCAAATGTAATGAAGACTTTCTAACATTTGACCTTTATAAAGTGTGACCTTGATCTTTGGTGTAGCAATTCAATTATGGCGCTCTGCACATCGTCTCATAATGGTGATCACTCGTGCCAATAAATTTTTAAAAAATCGTTTCAGCGGTTTAAAAGTTATGGAGAGAACTCGAATTGTTTACCTTATAACACTTGACCTTTAAGTGTGACCTTGACCTTGGGGATAGCAACCCAATTATTGCGCGCTGCACATTGTCTCATAATGGTGATCACTTGTGCCAAGCTATTAAAAAACAGACGTTTAAAAGTTATGGAGGGGTCAAGAAATGTAGACCTTTATAACATTTGACCTTTAAGGTGTGACATTGACATTGGTGTTGGCAATCCAACTATTGTGCTCTGCACATGTTCTTATAATGGTGATCAATTTTGCAAAGTTATTTTTTTTAAAACTACAGCGTTAAAAAGTTATGGAGAGAACTCGAATTGTTTACCTTATAACACTTGACCTTTAAGTGTGACCTTGACCTTGGGGATAGCAACCCAATTATTGCGCGCTGCACATTGTCTAATAATGGTGATCACTTGTGCCAAGCTATTAAAAAACAGATGTTTAAAAGTTATGGAGGGGTCAAGAAATGTAGACCTTTATACATTTGACCTTTAAGTGTGACATTGACCTTGGTGTTGGCAATCCAACTATTGTGCTCTGCACATGTTCTTATAATGGTGATCAATTTTGCAAAGTTATTTTTTTTTAAAAACTACAGCGTTAAAAAGTTATGGAGTGGACACAAAATGATGACTTTTTAACATTATTCCGCTATGCGGAAGGGGATTAATAAGTTAATACTGTTGCTTGAAGTTGTTTTCTCTGCTGCCAAAAGACCCCCAAAAACAAAACAAAAAACAACAAAAACAACAACAACAAAAACACACAAGAAAGAAATAAAACAAGATTAACACACCTTAAGTTTAAGACGTCAAATGTTAAAGACGGATTGTAATTTAATTTTTTACCTTGTGGAGAAAGTAATGTTGATTCAACATTAAAGGGTGTGTTTTTTTTAGTGGAATTCATTCAACGGATGTACATATTTGTTTTAGCAGTTGTATATAAGGTAAGAAATCCATATTTATTCATATTACATTGTACTTATTTTATTTATTCAATTTTTATTATTTTATTTTTATTTCATTTTATTTTTCTTTTTGCTACTGGGATTGTTCGTTTTCCCTGCCCCATTGGAGCCTCAGTAATGTTTCTGCAAAAAATTGTCTCGGCCTAACGGCCTGCAGAAACATCCCTTGATGTCGCCCCAGCCAGTGTTAAATCCTCGTAAATACCTCGTTTCAAATACTATATAGCTATTAATTATCGCATGGTTTGGAACTTTTTCTTTGTTCTTACTAATTCATTACACACAGTACACTTTCAATGAGCATTTGAAAACTGTAATCAAAGATGCCAATGTAGAATATATAGTGGCAGGTAGCGTCCATTTTAAAGCCATGAGAAATTTTACCGTCAGTTTATAAAATGTCGTGGGTAACGTTAAATCCGCGATATTCTATGTCTAAAGTGTATGAAATGTCGCGGCTTCTAGAAATCCAGATAGAGAGTTTTTCCGCACACTGCTGTAAAAATCGATTTTACAAAATTTTAATAATCTTACCTTATAACTGTAACATTCCATCATACAGACGTGAACAATCCAAATGATAAAATAACACTTGCCGGGCTCTAAAGATTACTACTGAAATACCCGTCTCCATCACACTTGTGATTTGATATTTGTTTATACTTCCTGCTCTATATACCCGGTTACAAAAAGGAAAAATATGAATCTTTTTTTGTAATTAATATGTAAATAAGAACGTAACAATGTTTGCAATACTCATTGATGTAAAACTAAAACCTCTTTATAATTATACGTCAGGTTTTGAGAAGAAAACCGCAAGATTTTCTGTCTACATAGAGACTTAACCACGCAAACAGAGTTTGAGCTTTTTATGCCGGGAAATGTCTTTGCGAAAAAAAGTCGCTGCTGATGATTTCTATAACACGCCGCGATACTTTATGAGACCAAAAAGACGCTGCCTATAATTTTTCATCTCGACATGTCACTTGAAAAAAAATGTCGCGGATTTCTTTCTGTTACAAATGTGGGATAACAATTAGAGTCAAACCATGGCCGCTAATGGCAACTGATGTTATTTTTGTTACAAGTTAAATGTTGATGCTGCACATTAAAGACGCCGCCAAATGATGTTAACAGTCACAGGTAATGTACAAAATCAGAATTTAAAATCGTTCTCTATTACAGTTGAATAGCCGAAGCACTAATTAATTTTTCCCCATGTTCTTGGTATGTGTCTGAAATTCTGAAATGTTTGTCTGTTGTCACAAGGATTGAAACGTCTGGTCGAAGCAAAATAAATTGGATAAAAAGTGTAATGATTGGTAAATTTTAAATAATTTCAAGACAATATGTGCCGAGAATATGTCCATTTCAATATTGGTGCGAACTGCATAATGTTCGAATGATTTTGAGCACGAACTGTCTGTTATTTTACAAATAGCGAAAATATGTCTGTAATATCAAATGATAGTTATGAATAAATTGATATATAGATATAATCAATTCTTTGTAACCTATTGTTAACTAATTTTCAAAAGATAAAACTACTTGAATAAACAAAAGATTGCATATTCGCATAGAATCTAGGTATGGAACAACAAAATGTAATAAAAATCTAGGCAAAAGAGAACAATCGTCGGTCACAGAATCCTTCAAAATAACCTATTGCAAATATTTGTGATACTTTTAAAATAAACGTACTTTTTAACTCATTGTTTTATAACTTAAATAATAATTATTTTAATGAATTACATGTCGCACACGTTTTGCCTGTTTTGCAAAAATATTTCCGCTGCGTCTGTAGCGCTAAAATAATCTCCGTTGCGTATTTAAGTGATACCTCTTTATTTGGTTACCGTCATTAGACTATAGACACAGGTAGCAGCATCATTCATTAACATCAATAAAAAGAACTAGAATTCCACAGCTTATCTAATTCAAGTCCAACGAATATCACTATCATTCCGATTTTTTCTGATTCACGGTATTTTTTAAATTGTCGTAAGCCATTTTGCAGTCTGATACCTGGTTTGAAATACGCGATCTGATTGGACGAACCAAATTGGACGTCCAATCAGATCGCGTATAACACACAGGTATCAGAATCCAAAATGGCAACGACAAGTCAAAAATTACCGTAAAATAGAAAATCAAAGTGCTGCAGCACTGAATGCGACGGACATGCAACCGGAGAGACATTAAGGCTTTTTTTTTTAGAAAAAAAAAACAAACAAAAATAAAACACAAAATATATAACAGAGATTTTTAGAGAAATATATTTTGTGTCCCAATCTGATATAATTCAGACTTTCTACTTTCCAGCATTTAAATACAGAATGAAATTTATGCCTAAAAACTCTGGTCAAACTTGTAAATCAGTGTTCTTATCGATTTATTCCAAGAAATGATATGTAAATAGAAAAAAACTGTCAACGAAATATTTCTAAAATAAAACCATGCAAATAAACTTCAAGCATAATATATTATACATGTGAGAATGTTATTTGAAATTGCTTCGTGTTATAACATAGTGGGCATATAGACAATAAAATATAAGTCATTTGTATTTTTATTTCTCTTGGATATGTCTCATTAAAATATTTTTGGTATTTTTTAAGATTTTTTTATTTACAAGAGCCAGCTAGAGCACATCGTTTTTATTTTAATTTAAATGTTACTTAAGCACTACGGTGTTTAGTTGTCTTTTCATTTTCACACTAAATTCCATTTTCAACTTGTTTGCTTCTTACAATTGTATAGAATTTCTAAAAGTATTGCATGTAAACAAAGTAAGTATCCGCTGGTTTATTACATGCACTAATCGCCTGTCCGAAAATCAGCACAGGTGCAGCAGAATCTATTTTTAGAATAGCGAAGGTTAACTCATATCGTGACCTAGAAAAATATGTAATCAAACCACAAGAATCGGAAGTAGAACTGATATTATAACTTCCTTCATGAAAGACTACATGGTGGTAAAGTGTTGAAAAACCCTCTTGTTACATGCATTTTCAAAAATAGATATTTAAACTAACCATTGTACTGTATCTAATTTATTAATAACTGCTGAATATTCAGCTAAACCCGCGGTATGAGTCACGAAAATAGTTCTTCTTTTATTAATGCGCGAGTTATTGTAGAGTCACGAAAACCTTTTGATTTGTTAATAATAATGTTTTGTTTAAAACGCTTAAGTTTTATTTGGCAATGCGTCCTTCGAACATTAGTATCCGATCACACCCAAAATTGATCTGGACATCATTAAAGTGTGATTTACGGAGTAGGTATACAACATTAACATTTTACTGTTTGTCTAAGATAATGTGAGAGTTACGTTTCTTTTTATGTGTACACAAAAAATCTAAACAGTCGGTTAAAAAGGTCAAATCGAATATACCAGTAAATTAGCACAAAAATGTTAAATGTCTGAATGGTGGACTTTGTAATGTCGTCTGGATTTCAAATTAGCAACCTCATTGTCACAAGTTCGAGCGTGACAGAATATTTTCCTTTTTTTCACTTTTTTTCATATTAAGGCTTTTATGTTGTCTTTCTTACAAACTATATAAAATATACAGGTTTCCCATTGTGCGTAAGGCCAAATACAAGTGGTATAAGTCTATTGCACAAAGTACCTCCGATTCGGCCTGTTTAATGTTTCTGCTCTGACTGATGTGTAACTACAGTGGTAGGAGATATGGCCGGGAAAGTATTGTGTACAAATTCTTAAAATGAATGGAGTTTTGAAGAGGAAAATCTATGGTTTAAACATCTAGAAAGAAAACATATTACAGTCCGTCGATGTAATGCTTTTTGGTAAAATGTACGTACCCTTAATAATGCCTTCATTGGTGGTCATCCTGAAATTGTTATTATTTGAAGGTCAGCTGACACTGACATAAAAAAGAAGAAATATTTTTGTGTAAATTATTATACTTATGTCAAAATGTTTACTTTTATTGCTATACTGTATAATTTAAGTAATCGTAATATAACACGGGTGTAACACTACATTAAAATAGAATACACGTACATACGAGTACGTTTCTCCAGCTTAATTACAGTAACTATAACCGTATATTCATTTATCTTCTTTACTTTTTACATGTTCTAGTTGTTTGCGTGCTTATAGCTGACTGGGACAAAAAATATTAGTCTGTAGCTAGTTAGTAAAAACATTTATACAATTTATGATCGGTAAACCATTTTGAAAGCATATTGATCTAATCAACAGGAAAGTCTAACAGTTTAAGAGCAACTTATTTGCAAATTGTGCGATGTAAAAGATAAGAGGCCTAGGCGTACACATTAATTTTTATGAAGTTCATGACGTTTATGAATGTGTGCAAGATGACTTTCATCTCCATTTAAATGTATTCCGCAGTAGGTATTATGCGTTAAATTAAGGTGAAGTAAGTGATGCGTGTTTGAAATTTGAAACGTAGCTTTCCATCTGTATATGTTGATATTTTGCTGTTTTTATTGCTTGCATAATCTTCTCATGCGGTTAACGTAATAGTTATAATATATGAAACGAGTTTGTTACAAGGATATAACACTGACTGGGGCGACGTCGTTAAAACATGTCGAGGCCTTTAGGCTGAGACGATTTTTTGCAGAAACATCACGATATGTCGCCCCAGTAAGTGTTATATCCCAGTAGCTTAAGAGTTTCACTTATTATAACTGTTTTATCGCGCTGTCATACTTTTTTGTACCAGAAATCCGCAAAAAAATATAAAAAAAATAATAAAATTAAAAAAAAATATGCACTTCTCTCTCTTGTGCCTTTCACTTTTGTTTCAAATGGAAAGCCCTGATTAACCCATTACTCGATATACACGCCTTTTAATGCCCTTTTCACCCCCTTTTTTTGTTGTCTCAAATGGTGACAAAATGCCTTATTTAGGCCCCCAACACTTGTTTTTGTTTGAGAAATATTGTTTAAAAAGTGACCACTTTTCCGGCGCGGCCCCCTATCCAAAAGATACATCAGGTTGTTGCCAGAAGGGGGATGTGCCCCCTTCTGTTTGAGGGGTTTGATCGCCAAGAAAATTTTGTACTTGTGAGAGGCTAAAAATGACCCCAGGTCGATCATAAGGTTACGTGTAACCAACGCTGAAAAGCCTTTGAGTCTATCTCAATCCCTTAAGAAGTTGAAGCATTTTGAAATAAATTTTGATGGGAAAAACAACGAAAAATAGTGAATTTTGGCAATTTTGAGACGTCCCCTCGTTGCCATTGTAACAGGAAATTTAAGACTGAGCATGCATGTTGTTACAAAGACAATCGTCCAGTCAACATTTGTGCCAAGTTTGATTAGTACTGAAGCAGATTTTAAAGTTTTATAGCAATTTGAACTTGTAACTGAAAACAGCAAATTTTCACAAAATGCTCATGGGTTAAATGAATTAATACTAGCTAATGTCGTAAGCTACCTTAGAGCTATTCATAACAAGGCTGTCTGAAGACAGCTAAATCCCCTTCCGCAGTGAACATGAATGTGTTCTTCTTGACTTTTTACCAGCCACGACCTTGATGTTATGTCATGCATATCATAAGCGCATAGTCATTGATGGTGATCATTTCTGCAATGTTATTTAAAATCTTTCATAAGAAAAGAAAAGTTATGGAGAAACATATAACCTTGACCTTGGGATAGC